GTCACCGATGATCTTCGTCACCGTTTTCGACCAATAGCGGTCACTGCCTGTGATCAAGGGAGAGTCGGTGGAGTTAATCAACCATGAGGATGTAAACACGCTGTGCCTTCTTTTCTCGAACGCACAATACTTTGCAACCAACTCTCGTCTGCTTTTCGTTCATACGCCGCACGATCGATTTATCCATCGCGAGATATCCTTCTCGAATCACCGTCTAACTGGTAGGAATAGGACCAGTTGGATCGGGAGAAAAATTGCCGTGGGGGAAAAAGTAGTCGCGGGTTCGGGCAAACAGACAATAATTTCTCGGCGGACTCTGCACAGGCCGTTTATCGATTATCGTCGGCCAAAAATACGCGCTCGAAAGTGCGCTTCTCCTTCCGTGCCTCCCTCACCTCTCCCCCCGCCAAGCCACGGTAAGTAGAGGTTCAAATTCGCGAGAATTTCGTAGGGGAGATCACTCGGCGAGTCCGACGATTCTTGGCCTTGAGACTCGCGATTCGCTTGGACAGAAGTTCAGCGAACCTCTGTCGGCCATGACGCGCGTTAATTAACCGTAATTGTTCGAGGCTGTTACGAAACGGACCCCACTCGAGAAGGTCTACTTTTGAGCGCCGAAAGCACGAGGCTTCTCGGAAATATTTGCCATCGGAGACGAAGAGACGATTGGACGATCGCGAGACTATTTTTCTTTTCCGCGAACAATGGCGTGCTTAATGAGAAGGAAAGAAGGAATCGAGGGAAGTAACACGAGCTGAGTGCCGGAGACAGATGGAGAGCGAGGACCGAAAGGGTGAAGAGGCCAGAAGAGCGGAGAGGCGAGAGGAGGAGGTACGAAAAGGGGGTCTGGGTTATAGGGCGGTACATTCACCGTTCCCTTAATTTCACCCTCTTTGGAGGCGAGTACTAGCTGCGAACGCGAGTAGAAAGCAGCGTGGTGCGCATACGCCTGCGTGTACGAGAGCGTGTGTGTGTGTGTGTGTGTGGGTACGTGTGCGTGGCTCTGAATCGAGCGCGTGCCGAGAGAAAAAAATCTATATCGCTTTTCAGAGCGAAGAATGCCTTTCCGGGGAGAGGAAACATCCGCGGCACGTGCACGTGCGTGCGCGATTACGTGCGTGAGGACGTGCTCCTACGTTATTTAGCGCCGCACTCCGCCTCTGTCGTCCACGTGTCGCCGTACTCTGCTCCGGCCAGACAAACTGCGCGAAATCGAGAGCTTTCGACGAAAAGGAAGCGACAGTGTGTTCCCGTCTGCTCTAAACCCCGTATATTTGAGACCATCGATCGGATGAGGGATTCCCACGAACGGTGAAGGATTCCCAAAGCATGGTGGAGGAGACGACGTACTACTACCAATCAGTATTCCTCGATACCTAGGCGCGATTTATCGCAAAGCCAGTATGTGATGGATTACTTACCGCCCTCGATCTGTATCTTTGTCTCTGGGAAAAAACTCACTGACCAAATCGGGCTGTTTCGTGAGCCTTCGCTCACCTAACCTCGGCTCGCGGCCACGAGCAGCGTTGCCGGTTCAGATTCCCGCTTAACTTACATCTCGCCGTTGGTCGGAAACACTTGCGCGAAAGATGACGGTTCGACAACCCGAGAGGCGATCGAAACCGAAAGGGGAATAACTCGCGGAGCACTTAACGAGATTGCCACTACCGTAACCGAAGCGCGTGTACTACTACCGGCAGCCGGCTGACAGAAGGAAAACCGAGTGGAAAGGAAGCATCGTTGGCATCCTCGTTGCTGCCGCCACCGTCAACGCCGCTACCTCCGCCGTTGCTGCCACCACCGCCGCTTTTATAATCAATATTAGTTGACGGAGGATCCGCCGTGCGTCGCCGTTCGACGCCGCGAGATAGACAGAGAAACGAACCGGCGACCGTTCACCCGAGCGAGACGCGACATGCACACGTTGCCTCGTTCAGAGATTTTTCTTCCACCCCTCGTACACTATAATCAACCTATACGATATTTCTTAAAAAGTCACGAAAATGAAGACTCTTTCGTCGAGTATCGTCACTTACGTTTTTTATTGCTAGCTTTCGCCGGACGATCAGACGGGAATGCACCTCCGCGATGATCTCCCTCCATCTGCATCCCAACGTCCTTCGTTCACATCGAGAGCACCGCGAAGCATCTTTCGAGATCGCGTCATCGTCTCACGGATAGATAATCGACGTCGAGGTGCATGGTCGCGCAACGAAACGAACCGCGGGCTCTACTCGAGCGTCTTTGATCGAACGGAAAGACGGTCGCGACCGACACGCGATCCGGAAAGACGTGGAGGGATAAGTAACTTCGAAGAAACGAGGGAAACTCCGCGATGGTATCGCGCGTCGCGTGTTTTTCGCACAGAAACTGGCGGCGCAGGGTGTGGCGAGGGAGCGTTTTAAAAGATTGGCACGCGATTCGCTTCGACCGGCGTCCACCGGCGGCGAGGGCGCCCGCGACGACGCGATGGCCGCGACGCCGTCGACGGTTTGCTTCGCGACGTGTCGCGCCATCTCGTCGACGACGACCGCCACGCCTCTGGCTACCCTCGACGGAACCGTCGAAAGCTTCGACTCGAACCTCCCGCGACACCGACCGAGGGACACAGTCGGCTTTATCAATCGAGACCGTGAACTCCCCTCTTTCTCATGCATACTTTATTCGCACGGTCGATTACCTGTTTATGGGTTAAATTCTTTTTATACGAACTTTGCAAATGCCACTCGCACGAGCGTACGTAACAACTGCTATCACGGGTCGGTAAGTAAATACATATACGAGAGGCGAGAACGTGCGGCGTGTGAGAATGGAGCTTCGAAATATCGTCGCTCGAGAGGAACTAAATTCGAATCGCGTAATCGAGTAGCGGGTATGGTTCAGTTAATTTCATAACGCCACGTGACTAAAAACGGTTATACAGTAGAGTACCGTGGTGAACTAGGAAGATGACATATGGCGAAAATTCGGAATTGATTGATTGTGATATAATATCCCTACCTTTTCTAACATAATCGCAAAGATAAGGCACTCAAATTTTCGTTACCGACCAATACAGCGTCGCTTGAGGTAGAGGGCGAATGAGATGCACCTAGAGCGACTGAGACAGGACTATACGGAGCAAAACATTGGCGTAGACACAGGATCAGTGCCAAATATCCTGCTATTATATCAATATACGTCATCGGAAATCTTAAAATGGTGGTGTCGAGAGTATCAAAGATGGAGTTGATCAAAGTACACGCGATACATATTTTACCCTTGCCTAGTCATTTTCTCATCTTTACACGGTACTTATATTTTTCTCTTAGTTAGCTCACAAGCAGTATCATCGATCACTCAGCGATAAGACCATAGGGTTGTGTGGTGTTGGCGATTGGTCTTCGCTGTGACATTGGAGACCCGTGTCGACCCTATGTCATCGGTGGCTACCGGTAGTGGAGGCGACTATGTGTGCGTGTGTGTGTATATATATATGAAACGAAATTGAGAGTGCGAAAATAAGTTACAGCCAGGCTGTAATCGTCGGCACTGCCTTTGGATTAGCGGGCGAATAACCCTGTATTATAATACGTGATTACACGTTCCGAGTCATACGATTCCGTGTTATACGAGTACGGTTTTGATTGCGGTTACGTCACTCGGTGCTCGATGTATTAATTTATAACCTCGCTGCATCATCTCCGCCGGTTATTCCTTGTACGTACACGTGTGCGTTACAACAGTATCGCTACGCTGAAAATGTAAAGTTACACCACGTTATACGACTCGTCGTGTCATAATAATCCCCTACTACAGTGAAGTTTCTACATAGCTGTACCAACGCATCGATATCGACCAGGTCTATTTACAATTACTAATGGCCCCAACTTTTACGCCATAACGGGAAACTATAATCGATCGGAACTTCCTCTTTCGCGAGCAAACGAAATTCCGATTACTGCCGGTTTAGTCTTCTCCGTTTAGGAATCCACGGGAAACTTTCGCGAAACTTCCACGTCTCGAATCTCGGAGACGCGGGAAGGTACCCGCGGAGCGTTAACGGAAATACAGCTTTAATCCATTTCCCCTGCTGAAACGGCGTCCCTGCGAACCTACTTAATCCCCCTTCCGGTGTCTTTGCCGCGAGGCTTCCGGTTGGGCGTAGCCGGGACGCGTCGCAGCGCTCTCAAAGGGCGACCGGACATCGAAAGGAAGCAAAGCGAGCCACGGGGCTAAGTATCGCGACGGACACGATCGCTCGTATCGCGTCTCGTTCTATCGAAATCCGCTTGTCGGAATTAAGGCCGTCCGATTCGATTATTGGATCGTCGCGTCGCTCGGGCTGGACACGCGTTCGGATCTATTTGCCGCTTCGTCGCCGTCGAAATTCCCCGCGACTCCATAGAGATTTCCGTCGGTGCTTGTGTACGCGACTCGAGCGCCGAAAATCCGTTTAAAAACGCATTCGCGTGGACGTGGTGGAGGGTTGGAGTGGCGACGAAGCACGCTCGTTCTCCGTCGAAACGTCGTTCCAGCGTCAAAAAAACGAGCTCGAGGAGACCGGGAACGGTTAGCACGGTGAGCTGGCGAGGGGGAAGAGGGAAGAAGAGAAAAGAGACAGAGCGTGGGCCGGGGTGATGTTAACGAGAAGGAAGGAAGGGCGGACGACGTATCGCTTTCACGCGTCGTGGGGCAGCCGGAAGGGAACGGGGTCGGGGGCGGTACCGAGGCCGGGACTGAAACTCGAACCGAGGAAACCCGACAGACGCCACGTCGATTCCAGGGGTTAAGTTAAGCTCGTAACGCGTGCCTACTTAAACACCGACCGGCAAAGGTGTGCAGCAGCGACAGATTGAAGCTCGCGGGGGGGACAACACGCTGCGCTCGGCAACGCGTCTCCGCTAATCTGTCCGCGAGAGAATCGAGCCGCTAGGGAACCAACGAGAGAGGGGAATCCCCGACAGGGTTCTGTCGCCGGGGAACGTTTGTCTTCCGAAAGACTGGAGAGTCTGACTCACCGATGTCGTTGGACGGTCGACCCTTGCAATCCGAATTCCATTCTTCCTCTGTAACAAGAAAAGGTGATACGAGTCTATTAGCTTCGCGGCTACGCAAACGAGAAGAAGCGACGGATGGGACGTCACGGAAAGTTGCACGAGGTCCTGCGTCACCGCGGTGTCCCGGCTTTCCGCGGGCTACCAAAGCAAATTGGATTCGAAAATTAATCGGCGAACGCGCGACGAACTTCTAAGCAGCTGAGGAACAGCTTCTTGCGAGAGGTCTGGAAACTTAGGAAAACCAGCGACGTCGAGTTTCGAGCACCGAAAGACAGGGAACTCTCCTCGGAACGTCGACGGGCCAGCTGGGTATCTAGTAGCCGAGAAGGTTTGGCAATAAAGTTCCCGTGATCCCTTGCGCGGGATGAAGCGGTTACCCTCACTCCTACTCACTCGATCGCGACCGCGCGCCACTCGCTGGAGGATAATTGCGACGCGAGACGTTTTCCTGGAAATTATTCGGTGCTCGACTGCGACGCTGCCAGCCTGGCTGAACCTACGAGCTCGAGAGACGAAGAGAGCGCGAGGAAAGGAGAGCAACGGTTAGCCTGCACCGTTGAGCACGAGGACGAGTATATGAGTACAGGTCGCACGGCGATATAGGTATACGCGTCCTGCATATTTCAGAGGCGCGCACGTCGCGCCCTCTGCTCCTGCAGAGCCGGCGGTCTACGCTGCGCGTAAATTTATAAGGATCCGTCCCGCGGTCTCGCTACTTCCGCATTCTTAGCCACGCGGGAGGTATGAATTTAAATTTACGCCCCGTCGACCCATTTTCCCTAGGTTCGAAGCGTTAATCCGCGGAACGGACCACGGGGCTCGACCGTGGCGATATCCTGAGCCGGCTAGAAATAACGATTTAATAAAATCCAGACGGCCAGAGTGTGCCGGGGCAAATTTCCATTACAAACATCTCGCGCGAAAATGCTCTCCGATAAACTCTCTCCCTCTCTCAAAGTCCTGCGAAATCTAAAAGTCAAAAGGTCCGTGTATTTACAAAATGAAAGAGCCAAAGAGGGTATGAGAAGGATGGCTCGGGGCTATGCCGCGCGCGCTAGCTTTTTCCCTGCTCTTCTCCTTTCAACCCTTCTCCACCGTTTCACGCTCCTCGTAACCTCGTTTACGATACGGACACGTCGGCGTTTTCGTGTCGCCTAAACGATCCTCTTTCTTTCGCGCCGCGACGTGCGCGACCGACGGGAAGAGAGACTCGTTACGGGCAGAATCGTAGCCTGTAGGAACACGACTGTACGACTCTTCTTTCCGGCCGTTCTTTCCAAAGAACGTCGAGCCTCTAACAGCCAGAGATTAAAAGTTCGTCCCGGGACTGCCGGTAAGCTAAGAGAAAGTCTCCGGTACAGCCACCGCGTTTTTCCCTCGTAGCGAGTATACGCGTTCGGGTTAACTGCCGATTAGACCCGAAGACGGACGAAAAGAGTCGAGCGGTGAGGTTAAGTGGACACGAGCGGCACGACGGGAAATTCTCGCGTTACGAATCGTCTCGCTAACGTTCCGTGTTTACGGTCGACGAACGAACGGTACACGCGAAGGTTTCGGGTCGGAAATAAAAGAAAACAATGACGCGGTTTGTTTTGGGTCGACCTGTGCACGTGATCTTATAATACGTCGGAAATTTCAAGCGGAATCGATGACGTAGTTTCTCGGCTTTCTTTCTTTCGTAAATTTTCAGCGCACGTGGCATGGCGACGAGTAAAATACCGACGGAGAGTTGGACGCAGAGGGAAAAGAGAAACGAATGGGGCGTGTTAGCGGTAAACCGCGAGATCCTTAGGAAGCCGCTATAGGTTACCTGAAGTTTCGGAATCTGATCCTGGCGTGGGGCTAGCGTCCACGCTGTGTCTAGATCCCTGGCAACACTCGCTGCACTTGCTGCACATTTTGTCCCGTTCACGCGATACAAGCCGTATATCCCAGACAAGGATCTTGATCACTTTTTCTCACCACCGACGATTTCTCCCGATGCACCTCGCTTCTCGGCGCCTTGTCACGCCGTTCGAAACGATCGGTTATCGACGCACGGGTCTCATCGTTGAACGAACGACAACCAGTCCGAGCAGCGTCCGGGAAATTCGTCGATCGATCGACACCACCGTGACCACTCGATTTTCTCCACCACCAACATCACCACCACAAACACCCACGCAACCCTTGAAAGCCGGTCAAACTGATGAAAAACGATTTTTATTCCGGCAGCGTGCTCGCCTCGCCAGCGCACTTCCGCCCTCTGCCGGCCGCTCGGTCAACTAAAACCGACAATCGGCCCGCGCGCAATTCGAACGACCGATAGCCGCGCTACGTCGATATCCTTCGTTCTTCGAAAACTAACCAAGAAACTAATCGAGCTCTCCGAGCTTTCTATTCGCGCGGATTCACGAGCGATCTCTTTTATTTCCTTTTACCAACGATCTCGAACAAACGCCGGGAAAGGAAGAGAGAAAACGGTGAGAGAAAAGTGGTAACCCGTGTTCCGTACGGCATCGCGTATCCCGAGCAAAAACTTCGGCTATTTCAAAGGGAGAAAGTTCGGGAGACGTTTCCAGCGAAGATGCTCCTCGAAGCGAAGCGATCGAACCGTAAAGAGCCATACGTCGGCCGTAATTACATCGAGTGGGAAGAGCCCTTAAATTCGGTGATGCGTAAAATTAATTGTCTCTGCGTGTGCCGCGCTTAAGCCCGTGGCCGCTAGATGTCTCGCTGCAGGAGCAACTTCGGCAAAGCGAAGGGACGCGGGCGTATATATATACACGTATACGTGTACGATGTGGGCTCGCTGGTAGGGGGAGCGAGCGGGCAGAAGGCTAACGGCAAAGTCCCCTGGAGATTCGTTTCGATATCGAGAAACGCATTTTCCGGCTGACCGTAAGCATTAAAGCGTTAAAGTGGTTCCGCTAAAGGGGTCGAGCGTGCTTTGCTTTTCCTTTCGCCGGGAAATACGATAATTAAAGCGAAATAGGAAGAGGGTGGACGCGATGGAGATGAAAGTAATAAAGCGGGTCGCGGAGACGAGAGTCGCGGTTAATCGTATCGGGATAAACGAAATTCAGAAATATATATACACACACATACACACACAGAGTGTGGCACGGAATCGAGGGATGGAACGTTGTTACAGACGTAATACGATCCGTTGTGAACGACGTGAAATTAACTGGTAACCCGGTTCGCTGGAGGAACAACGACGAATCACCTCGTCGCGCTCTCACGGAAATCGATCGTCGAACGCAACGATGGCAATTCGCAATTACGCGAGAGGCATTTTGCGGGCCAGCCCGTACACCCAGAGAACTAATGGGGGCGGCCGGCGTGGGCTGGGGGTGGCGATGACGCGCGCGCTTCCGCCACCTCAAATTCGATGTAATTCGGTTGCTGGAATTCGCGCAACTGCGCGCCAACGCCGGATTTCCATAAACGACCGACCGAAATTCGTCTTGGAACTGGGTTAAGCGCGTGTCCATTGTAGCCACCCGATGTCCGCCGGACCGTTCGTTGCCCTTTAATCGCGATTTCGCTAATTGGCTCTGGTCTCCATCTCTCTCTCTTTCTTTCTTTCTCTCTCTCTCTCCCTCGAGTCCGACTTTCGCAAGAAAAACCGAGTCTCGGACCGCGGAGCTTCTCCACGAAAAACGTCGGCAACTGGCTACCTCTCGAGTTAGAGCCTCTTCCAAGGCCCAGCGTCGGAGTGGGGGAACGGCGTAGCGCGCGGAGTGGGGGTAGCGAGAGAGAAGTTTCGCTGTGGTAATTTGCGAAATCGCGCAACGAAGCGCGATCACGTGACTCTTAAGTGGCGATTAAGCTCGCAACAGAGGGAGAAAGAACGACGGACGCTTCTACTCGAGTCAGCGACTTTCTTTCCGCGTTCGGCTCGGTTAAGAGGCTTAAACGGGGCTTGGAAGGGAGGCGGGGAGCAAAGGTTGGCAAACTCGTTGGAAAAACTGGCCGAGTTTCTCGACGATCGGCCACGCGCCCTCGGGATCAACCCTTCTCGTGGAAATTCACCGCCATCTCGCACACGCGGAGGAAGCCTCGTCACGGTTTCGTCAACCCGAACCTAACCTAACCAAACCTGGTCATTAACATGGATGCGCGTTTCGCTCGTAATAACGTTAATCACGGACTAATAACGTGTCCGTTGAAAACGTAGGTACGAGGTGGATCGATCGATGGTACACAACGTAACACCGGTCCAGGTTTATTCGACTGACCGAGAGGGGGCGGTAATTAACCGGCCGGAATTACGGCAAGTATTACTCGGTGGTTTGGCGTTACAGGCTACGCGTTACGCGAGATCTCGAAAGGAGAATCGCGGTATCCGATTACCCGTTAACGGGCAAGGAATAAACCGATCGAGCAGGATGTTATCAATCCCTGCGCCGGTTCTTGCGCCTTGCGGCTTGCGTGCGGCCATGCGGCGTGCGTGCGTGCGTGCAGTCGTGTCGGTCGTGCTAACGTGCGTGCGAGCATGCCTTAAAATACGATCGATGACGCGGTGCAGCGTGTAAATCTAGGAACACCGCCGACTTCCGGAATGATCCATTAGAGGGCAAAGAAGCGGAATGGGCCTTCCTTCCTTTCCTCTTCCGGTGGCCGCGCGTGCCTGCCCGACATCGGCCACCGTGTGTGTCCCACGCGTGTGTTGCACGTGTGTGGTCGTTTATGGTTGGACGCGTGCAGTTAGCCTATACGGGGTGCCTCGCGATGCACATGTGGGACGTTCTTCAGGGATCGATTTTGCACTTGAATGCAGAAAGAGGAAAAGGTGTAAATATGTCTTCCCTTTGACCTTGTTTACGAGATGCAACGAGTTTCGCATTTTATTCCATGGTGTCTTGCGAGCTTCGCAGGAGATATCGAGAAATCCATCTTAAGTCGTGCTATTATTCGCTATTACAGAATATGATTTTAATCATTCTGATTTTAATCATTCGTTTGTTAATTTTTTTAAATTAATATCATCGGGAGCTAGAAATTTATATCGTATGTGTAAATAT